CACTCTGGTGAGCTCTGAAGAGAAGGCATCTGACTTTCTCCGGCTAATCATCTATAAGTCAATATTTATAATATTATTATATATATAACTTATTATAATAGGTCATTTTGTAAGTCATTCAGAATTTTAGAGGCTACAAAATATTTAGAGCTACAAAAACATTGTACTGTTTCCCAGGCACTTGGGTCTCGAGAAGGTATGGAAAGACTACATGTGTCAGTCACATGCAAAGATGGTCTATGGTCTCTCAGCTCATTTGGCCCATGGAACTAACAATGGAAGATTTCTTTTAGAGTGTGCTATTCAAAGTGTGGTCCTCCCACCAATAGCACTGGCATCCCCTGGGAGGTTGTTAGAAACGTAGAATCTGAAATAAGTCAGACAGAGAAAGACAAATACCATATGATCTCACTTACATGTGGTATCTAAAAAACAACAACAAAAAAGAAGCTCACAGATACAGAGAGGAGATTGACGGTTGCTGGATTAGGTAGTGGGGAATGGGTGAAGGTGGTCAAAAGGTGCAAACTTTGGCTGTAAAATAAGTAAGTCCTGGGGATGTAAGGTACAGTATGGTGACTATATTTAACAATACTGCATTGCATACTGGAAAGGTGCTTAGAGAGTAAATCTTAAAAGTCCTCATCACAAGAAATGAAAAAGAAAAAAAATTCTGCAACTGTGTATGGTAACAGATGTCAGCCAGGCTTATTGTGGTGATCATTTCACAATATATACAATTATCAAATCATTATGCTATACACCTGAAACTAATACAAAGTTATATGTCAATTATACCTCAATTAATAAAAAAAGAAATGAGCTCGCCCAGGCCCACTAAGAGGAACCTGCATTTTAACAAGATCCCCATGTGATTTATATGTGTACTAAAGTTTAAGGAGCACTGTATCATAGGTATGAAACATATAAACTACATTTTTTTATATATAAACTATATTTTAAGCTCTTATTTGTTTTCAAATATATTGAAAATAAATTTTTTTTAAAAAAAAGATTTTATTTAGGGGCGCCTGGGTGGCTCAGTCGTTAGGCGTCTGCTTTCGGCTCAGGTCATGATCCCAGGGTCCTGGGATTGAGCCCTGTGTCAGGCACCCTGCTCGGCGGGAAGTCTGCTTCTCCCTCTGAGAGAGAGAGACAGCAAGAGAGGGAACACAAGCAGGGGGAGTGGGAGAGGGAGAAGCAGGCTTCCCGTGGAGCAGGGAGTCTGATGTGGGGCTCGATCCCAGGACCTTGGGATCATGACCTGAGCCGAAGGCAGACGCCTAACGACTGAGCCACCCAGGCGCCCCGAAAATAAAAATTTTTACTGTGGCAAAAAGATTTATCCTCCAGTTAAAACCTGTGTGTGTGTGTGTGTGTGTGTGTTTCTCTCAGCTAAGGTACTCAGAAGCAACTTGACATTTGTAATTTCCTTCTCAAACCTAGCTTACAAATGCAAACGTTTTCAGCTGTCCCAGTTTTCTGAATTATTTACTGCATCTTCTAATTCTAGGCAAATTTTATGTTTGGAAAGGACATTATTTACCAAAGACTTCTAAAATTTTTGCTCCCTACCTTTTTCCATTTTCTGGGAAAAATGTTTTTTCTTCCATACTCATTCTAGAAAGTCATTAGGAGAAATTCTAACTTTGTATTTTTTTTAACTAGGCTCCCTGCCCAGCGTGGAGCCCAAAGCAGGGTTTGAACTCACAACCCTGAGATCAAGATCTGAGCTGAAATCAAAAGTTGGATGCTCGCAATGTCCACAATAGCCAAACTGTGGAAAGAGCCAAGATGTCCATCGACAGATGAATGGATAAAGAAGATGTGGTATATATATACAATGGAATATTATGCAGCCATCAAAAGGAATGAGATCTTGCCATTTGCAACGACGTGGATGGAACTGGAGGGTATTATGTTGAGTGAAATAAGTCAAAAAGAGAAAGACATGTATCATATGATCTCACTGATATGAGGAATTCTTAATCGCAGGAATCAAACTGAGGGTTGTTGGAGTGGGGGGTGGGGTGGGAGGGATGGGGTGACTGGGTGATGGACACTGGGGAGGGTGTGTGCTCTGGTAAGCGCTGTGAATTGTGCAAGACTGTTGAATCTTAGATCTGTACCTCTGAAACAAATAATGCAATATATGTTAAGGAAAAAAAAAAGAAGAAGAAGGTAGGGGGAGGGGAAGAATGAAGTGGGGGAAATCGGAGGGGTAGACGAACCATGAGAGACGATGGACTCTGAAAAACAAACAGGGTTCTAGAGGGGAGGGGGGTGGGAGGATGGGTTAGCCTGGTGGTGGGTATTGAGGAGGGCACGTTCTGCATGGAGCACTGGGTGTTGTGCACAAACAATGAATCATGGAACACTTCATCTAAAACTAATGATGTAATGTATGGGGATTAACATAAGAATAAAAAAAAAAAGTTGGATGCTCAACCCACTGAGCCACCCAGGTGCCCGTAACTTCGTATTTTTCTAAGGAGGTGTTATTGTTGTTCACATGAGGGATGGTGATCTGGTTTCTAGTTTGAAAATGTGCTGGTAGTGTGCTAAATATCTATGAAGCCACCTATGAGAATGGGACCTATCCAAGCCATATAAGGAGCTCAGGTGGCACATACCCCACCACCCTATGCAGGGCTATCCCTGACTTGAAAAAATTTCTCTTCATAAATGAACGACCAGTTTCTAGTCTACAAATTACATCACAGACTTAACAGTATCAGGCAACGTGCACATTGATTTACCCTTGACGTAGGAGGGAAAATGGTCAGAGTACTTTGAGGGAAAACTTACAGATAAATTTGAAATAATGTTTAAAGTGTTCTTCTGATTCTGTATTACTGTAAAAAAGGATGGAATTGTCCTGTAAACATTTGGATTAAGCAAAAGCAAGAGGCAGAGGGAATCTAAGGCTGGATCGCCGTACGGTCTTCTTTGAAAGTTCAGTCTCACCTGATTGTCGAACCCGTTGAAGAGTCTGCTGGACCAGAACCTCCGATCTTGGGACAATGATGATAAAGTCCACTTTGCTGAAGTGGCCGAGGTCCAGGCTCTGGCTGCCGCTGTCTGCTATGGCACATACCTGGGATAAGAGTTTCCTGGCAACCGTTAGCTGTGGTTGGTAAATTTGGAAGGTTTCATTATCTAAATCTAAAATAAAAAAAGTCATAAGAACAAGATTAATTCACTTCTGTTGATGGCCACTATGAATCCATACGGGGGACACACAACATACATACACGGTAATGCTCTATACCAAGCGTTCTATTCTCACTCTCTGTTGGGTGTTAATAGATTGCTTATTTTCTCTGAAAACTTGGCTGAAAGGATGTGATCAAGAGTGGATGCGGTAATTTTACAAACGTATTCTTTTTTTTTCTTTTTAAAGATTTTATTTATTAATTTGACAGAGAGAGACACAGCGAGAGAGGGAGCACAAGCAGGGGGACTGGGAGAGGGAGAAGCAGGCTTCCTGCTGAGCAGGGAGCCCGATGTGGGGCTCGATCCCAGGACCCTGGGACTGTGACCTGAGCCGAAGGCAGACGCTTAACGACTGAGCCACCCAGGTGCCCCACAAATATATTCTTTTAAAATCGACGGATCATCTCACAGGTCACTACCCCACACCCCTCCCCCACCCAGAAATGCCGGGACAGACGACATTCTCACAGTGGGAGCTGGGACTTCCCCATCTCTGGAAAGGGGAAGCAAGAGTTTCCAGTGTTCTTTAGGACTGTCAGCACAGGTCAGGAGCCCAAGCCCAGACCGAATTCGGGGAAGGAGTTGATGCTGTAACCATCCTAATGCTGAATGCCTTTGCACTTTTCTGGACAGCACCACAGTAAACATTTCCTTTCTGACATGTCAGCTGCAACATTTGATTTGAAATTCTTCTCCCCAGGGACTATATAACACAGGTCACAGACACACCCCTTCACCTTTCTTCCCACTTGACTTGCCAGTGCTTATGTTTGGGCAGTGGTGGGTGGTTATGCCAACTCCGGTGCTGACTCCTGTATTATCTGAAGAGACCTGGCTCGTAACAGGGCCAGCTGCTCCCTCGAGAGGCGATACATTAAAAGAACACTGCCCAGGACACCTGGGTGGCTCAACGGTTAAGCGTCTGCCTTCGGCTCAGGTCATGGTCCCGGGGTCCTGGGATCGAGCCCCGTGTCGGGCTCCCTGCTCGGCGGGGAGTCTGCTTCTCCCTCTCCCACTCCCCCTGCTCGTGCTTTCTCTCTCTGTCAAATAAATAAATAAAATCTTAAAAAAAAAAAAAAAAAAGAACACTGCCCAGACACTCTAAACATGCCAGTGGCTTTTTATTACAAGTTATAACCAGGCAATCAATCTCATACGTTCATACACACACACACACACACACACAAAATTAACTAGACAGGCTTAGATGAATCCTTGAGCAGGCAACATTTAATACTCTTTACGAGGCTGCTTTTTATCAGGAACACAGGTGAAAGTTTGACTGGAACACACAAGGCTCCAATTAACCTGCACTAATTAATGTTTCTAAAATCAAATTGCACGACGCGCCTGGGTGGCTCAGTCAGTGCCTAGGATCAAGCCCCGCATCGGGCTCCCTGCTCGGCAGGAAGCCTGCTTCTCCCTCTCCCTCTGCCTGCCACTCCCCTGCTTGTTCTCTCTCTCTCTGTCAAATAAATAAATAAATCTTTAAAAAAAATCAAATTAAATCAAATTGCAATGTGGCCAAGGTAAGGACGGTGGTCAGAGTACCCTAGCCACAGGGAACCCTGACAGTTAGTGGAGATTTATACAAGTGGCTGAGAGAACCCACTAGAAAAGTCTAAAGCTGCAACTTCTAATAGTAGAATGTTTTTTGACCCACAAGGATTACCAATGAAAATAAATCTGTCTTTTGATAGGCTATTATTTCTTTCATATCATAGGTTAGATAGGTGGGGACTAACCTAGATGATAGCATAACTTTGAAGAACTCAACGTAGCAAATTTTGAACTTCGAGGAACTGTTAATGTATCTTTAAGCAATGTTTCTTAAACAGGGAATCAAGGATATGAATGTGGAAATCTGTAAGTACTCTGAGAATTTTTAAATTCTAACTTTGTTAATAATTCAAAAATAATATGAACACATTTTAGATCATCCAGGTGATTGCTTTATCATCAAATAAAGTGTAGAGGTAAAAAAATTTTATTGTGGGGGCACCTGGGTGGCTTAGTCGGTTAAGCATCTGACTTGATCTCAGCTCAGGTCTTGAACTCACAGTGGTGAGTTCAAGCCCTGTGCTGGGCTCACACTGAGCATGGAGCCTACTTAAAAAAAATATTGCATGCATTCGAATTTGTTTTTATGACTGAGCTAATGCCAAGCCATGCTACTTCTATTGCTGAGGCAATCCTAATACATAAATGACACATTCCTATTAAGGGAAGGCTAGAAGGCTGTCAGCAGCAGCTTTATGGATGTCTACCCTTTGTCCTATTCTTTTTTTCGGTGCTCTCCTATATTGTCCTTATCAAATGGGGGAATTGGGGAAAAAATCTGAACATAAAGGAATCCAATGTAATGATGGAACTCCCTAGTCCTGCTCCCACCATCCTCCCCTTTTTATTTATTTATTTTTAGATTTTTATTTATTTTAGAGAGAGTGAGAGAGAGGCAGAGGGAGAGGAAGAAGCAGCCTGCCTGCTGAGTGGGGATCCTGACACGGGGCTCGATCCCATGACTCTGGGATCATGACCTGAGCTGAAGGCAGAGGCTTAACTGACTGAATCATCCAGGTGCCCCCATCCTCCCCTTTAAAAAAAATATTTATTTATTTTGGTGAAGAGTGTGCCGGGGGTGCGGTGTGGGGAGGAGCAGAGGAAGAGGAAGAGAATCTCCAGCAGCCTCCCCGCTGAGCAGGAGCCCGATGCAGGGCTTGATCTCAGGACCCTGAGATCATGACCTGAGCCGAAATCAAGAGTTGGATGCTAAACTGACTGAGCCACACAGGCTCCCCTCCCACTATCCTTTTTTGCATCCTGGAAGCTTGCAGGGCAGACGATGTCTTGGTATTGCTGTGCTATCTGCCAGGGATGCCTTGCTATCCCTGAGATGATGTGTGTTTTACATGTCAGAGAGTCAATGAAGGGTGTGGAGAGCCAGCAGCCCTGCACGGACTGCATTCTACATTCTTTCAAGCAGTTCTTTGTAGCCCTCAGAGAGCACCAATAGCTCTCTGGGCATAGCTGGTGGAGCTAAGGAGAGTACACCAAGGACCCCAGAAATTTTGAGGAAAAAAAAGAGAGAGCGAGAGAGAGTCTGCTTATCATAAAGTCTTCAACTTTGATTTTAATTCTAGGAGACATCTACTAAGAACAAGGTGTTGGACCCAGACCCCATTATAAGGCATTTTTAATTTGAGCCATATTTATCATGTAGATAATGAGGAAAAGCCTGTCACAGTCTGTGACTCTAAACACAAGACCTCAAAACCGTCAGAATGACTTAGCTTCTACTTCCTCCTTTTGGTCTGAAGTGACGTTACCCAGGTTTTGCGTGGGGATCATAGCAGCAGCCTCCTGAGCTGACACGCACTCGTTAAGATCTCCATTGAAAGGGGTAACCACACTCTCTCCTCTTCTCTGTTGCATTTTGTCTAGCAGCTTGTCCAGGTCATCACCTATCACATAATAAAGTGGAGATAAGAAGATTGCAAGGAACGATAAATTTGTATCAGTCTCTAAACTGGGCCCTTAAGCTGGGTTCTCATCAAGATTTGTCAGTCAGCCAGCTTTTCGTGGTGGAGTGTACATTTGGCCATGTCCGCGGCAGCATCTCTAAAGCCAGAGCCACCCTCGTTTGTATTGTGCTTACGATTTACACGCTTTCACGTGATGTAGCTCTCTTGACCTCCATAATGCTCAGAGCAGGCAGGATGGGATCGTTCTATCTCCATGTGACATATTAGAGAACTGAGATCCGGGGTGGCAGAATCTCTCTCAAGGTCACACCACTAAGTTGTGGCTGAGCGGAGGCCCTCCATACTAGCGCCCGTGTGCCCTCCTCTGGACGCCCTGCTGTCTCAGTAACAAAATACTGAGGATAAACCATTCCAAGTGAGGGAAGGTCAGCCGGCGAGTTTAAGGCTCCACACTCATCTCCTTGACGGGCTAAGATTTAAATTCAGAAAATCACACAGCTAGAGGCTGGCGGTATTGCTGAATCCTACAACCACTCACCTAATGATGTGGTTTTGAAATGCGATGCCAGGAAACTGACTTTTCCTGTGATGAGCTCATAACTAATTTCTTTCAAAAACTCACTTGTGGTGAGCATGCTCTCTGCCAGAGCTCTGGACTGATGCTGACCTGAAGAAGAGAGGGAGAGGAGGTGATGCACCCAGTGAATAAATGTTCACTGAAATATGATTTATAACAGCAAAAACTGGAAACAAAAGCATGTAACTACAGGGATTTGGTTAAAGAAATTATGGCACATCAAAAGATGGACAATTATTCAGCATTTAAAATGACTATTTTAAAAAGAAAATGTTTATAATAAAATGTTAGATGATCAAGGGCAAAAATGATATACCTTATGTTTGTAACTGTGAAAACATACTATACATGTGTTTAAAGACTAGGGAGGAATGTGAAAGACCTTTAAAATTGTGTTTGCATGGTCATTATGAATACCGGTCTTAAAAACACGAACGTATGGGTGTTTAGTTGTTTTTACAAATGAAAATTTGAAAAATTAATGTATTATACTTTCTGATGAAGATTTCTGAAAAAGATTTATGACATGGGCAGGCAGGTTTTGCCAAAGTGAGGGGGCTTGGCTTCTTTGGTAGGAATAGGTGAGAACCATCACTAGAGAGGAAAAAAGCAAATTTAGTCCAGATGGCTGGCTACTCGTGATGGTGCCTGACAGAAAATCAGCACAAGAAACAAAAACCCATTTTGTAATGTTCCAACTTTCTGAACCTTTTCTTTAGAGTCAATGTTACAACATTAAGTATCCTCTTCAGTGAGGAGGCGAACACATGAGGTAAGTTTCCTGGCAGATTTGATTCACTGGCTTAGGCCACCTGTGGCAATGGCCTTATCACATGCTAGAGTGGCAACGTTTCCAGGGCCTTTTAAGGACGGAAGTTACGTGAGACAAGGGTATCTGTTACTAGGACCTGCTTTGAAATAATTCTCCCGCAACCAGCTGACAGGGACACCAGCCAAACTAAGGGCTACAAAAATGTGATATGAGGACAAAAACAAAAGTTAAAATCAGGAGGAAGAACACAAATGGGAGCAATTAACTAGAGATTAATTACACGGATGCTTGAAACACCCAACAAATATTTTTCAAATGGACAGATAATTAAATGAATGGGTTAAAAAAAAAAACAAACCCCAAAACATTACTCACCTAACACTACCACACAAAATTCATTTCCTCTGATTTTTGATGCGCAAATCGCCACAACATAATCTGGTAGTCTTTGATAGTGCCTCATTTCACTGAGAGTCCTCAATGTCTCTGAAATGCCCTCCGCCAAAGAGTTTTGGGTCACAATCACATGAACCAAGTCTTGAGATACACTGGCGACTAGTCTCGCAAGCCAGGGGAGTTGTCCCGGTGACACAGGTGTACATTGAGCCCCCATCTGCAGGGCTCTCTCTCTCAGAGTAAATTCCTGCATAGCTTTCAGCATGATTTGCTCAAATTCTTCCCTGAGGGGTATCTGATCAGGACCTAAATTGAAGAGAATTACAGCTAGAATTAAAAAAAAAAAATCACAGCCAGAAAAGAGAAACACACACACACACACACACACACACACGCTAGTGTGTAGTCCTTCTAAGCCCACCGTATTCCACTGGCAAAAGAGCTGTTTCCTGTTGTGGCCACAAGCATGGAGTTCCTGCTAACCATTTTCCATTGTGAAATTACCTCCTCTCTGTGTCAATATTAAAAACAAATGCTGGCTTCTGTTCTCCTTTATGCTAATCTTGATATATTTTTTAAATATTTTATTTATTTATTTGAAAGAGAGAGAGAGAGAGCAAGAACAAGCAGGGGAGAGGGAGAGGCAGAGAGAGAAGCAGACCCCCCGCTGAGCGGGGAGCCTGATGCAGGACTCGATCCCAGGACCCTGGGATCATGACCTGAGCTGAAGGCAGATGCTTAACCAACTGGGCCACCCAGGCGCCCTAATCTTGATATTTTTAAAAGAGGATGAACTCCGAGTCAGTATCAATTCCACTATATGCCTTAGGGGATGGTCACTGAAGGTGGTATATTTGTTGAATTGTTAAACTTGTTGTTACCAACACGATTAATGACTCATGAGGGAAGAAGTTAACCTACTGGCATATAACCAACTTCAGGTTTCACTCATTTCTCATTTTATCTATCGCTACTTTGAAAAACATTTTAATGCATTGCCTCTGTACCTAATTTTAGGAATACTGTCCGTAACAAAATTAAGTTTAACTATTTTTCACTTCTAATTTATATTTAGGGAGCCTCATACTTTCCCTCGATAGAGAATGTCACTGTCATCTAGCTATTCCCCAGCATTCTGGGTTGTTAAGGATGGCATTTGGTCCTCTCCTCCAGCTGTGGTTATGGCTAAATTTATATGGGTGACCTACAGTCCCTGGATTAGGGGGATTTTGTTTCTCTGATTCTTTTTAGAAACTCAACCAGTCTTTAGGACAAAACAAGCAAGTCAATGTTTGACATCCAAGTGACTCAAATGAACTCCTACTACATTGTTTAAATTGAAACCAGTGAGACTATGCTCACTTCACTCTTCAGTCATTTCTTTTGCTGTGCAGACCTGAGATTTGAAAGTCAGGCTCTGCTAGACCCATCAGTGTCTGTGACCTGAGATCAAGCAATAGCTTCAGAACCCAGGGCTTGGGAAAGAATACAGGTTTAAGGGACTGGACTTCTGTATGAGAAGGCACCTTGAGTGAGTCAGAAACCTTTCCTTCCTCAATAGGGATTTAAGTGGCCTCCCAGGCCCCCACCCATCCATATTCTCTGGGAAAGTAAGAAAATGAAGGTTTAGTTATATTTTCAGGATATGGAAAAGTAAATAAAATATTATATATTTTAAAAATAATTTAGGGATGCCTGGGTGGCTCAGTCGGTTAAGCGTCTGCCTTCGGCTCAGGTCATGATCCCAGGGTCCTGGGATCGAGTCCCACATCGGGCTCCCTGCTCGGCGGGAAGCCTGCTTCTCCCGCTCCCACTCCCCCTGCTCGTGTTCCCTTTCTCGCTGTGTCTCTCTCTGTCAAATAAATAAATAAAATCTTAAAAAAAAAATAATAATAATAATTTAAATTGGAGAAAATATGTTTTTCCATGATTGGTTAAAGGCTAGAGGGAGGGAGACTGAAATCCCCTCAGAGTTTTTTCTGCTATCCATGGAAAGAGGGCAAGAACCCTGCAATGCTTACGTTGTGTTCCTATTTCTTATGTCCTACCCAGTCACTTGCTAGAGGGCGGTGGATGCCTTCTTATCACCTGGGAGCTGCCAACGCTTCTGTCTTCATTTTGCTTTATCAAATTAGCATCGTGGTTAGTGGTCACTAGGTACATGCTAGGTAGTGAGCTCCAAGTGTATAGATTTTGCCCTGACTATACAAATGCACAGTACAAATGAGATGAAGGGAAGGTAGCTGTCATTTAAAGCTTCCTTTCATCAGAACAAATGACAGCTCAAAAGCAAGTGGCTTTGCTGCCATTCCCTACAGCCTCTCATAGACCTGAAGGCTCAGAAGCCTGAACAGGTGTGTCCATAGACTGCTCCTAACCATGACTGAGTAACATGTTCTCAGCATAATCAATTCCAAATTTAAAGGTGTTCGGGGAATATAAAATTATAGAACATGTTCATAGCATTTTTCCATTGCCTCAAAACTAACTTTACGGAGTTTTGACTGGATTACTGTTAAGAACTGAGAAACAGAGGAAAATGTATCAAAGTTTAAATGAGTCCAAGAGAGCAAAATGCCTTGCTTCCAATCACCTCCCATCATTTCTTCATCCTCAGCCTTTATGGCTAAATTGCAGGAGCTTTTTCTCCGCTTCCCACAAGCTTGATAATACTAATTTTTCCCCCATCAACTGCTGATCTCCAGTAGCTCAGCTTAGCCTAGGCATCAGTTCTTATAGCTTTTCAGATAGGGCTACCTTAATAAGAAGAGACAAAGTTCCAACAGACCCAGAGCCCTCCAATAATCACCAGATTTGCTGATTTCACTTTCTACTTCAAAAGATTTTCAGGCTGTGAAATAACAGATTGTTGTTTGTTTTTTTTTTAAAGTAACTGTAGTTAAAGGCCTCTTCCTTCTGAAGAATCTTGCTTTTCTTCTTCTCTATTATGTCCAGGTAAGTGAGCCATCATAGTATTAGACCTGTTCTTTTAAAAGCTTGGATTTTTTTTTAAAAGTCTATCTCTAATCTATAGCATATGTAAAAAATGTTCTTGCTGCCTTCTTCAAAACCTTTGGAGGCAAAACAAACAAACAAACAAAAACTCAAGGACACCAGAAGAAAGTTGCTGAGGAGAAGAGCTGTCTTCACATACAAAATTTAGGTAAAAAAAAAAGAAAAAGAAATAGCCATTCATGTTGCACATTGAGAGATATATTAATTGTTTGTCAGTAAAACTCTAGAAAGAACTGATCCCACAGGCAGAGAGGTCTAATTGAATGGAGATTTCTCTCTTTTTAAGATAAGAGCTTTTAGTTGTTTGAGAAGAGACATTTTGTTTTGACCATTTAGTTCATTTAATTAACTTAAGACTTTGATATTTTAAATTGTTATTAAGATTGAAAAAAAATGCTGTACTGATTGGCTTGGTTTGCCAATAGCATTACTCTATGCGGGCTCATTTTATGAATTCTGGATGCATCGAGAAGCTGGTTTTAGATCTCGGAATATAGTCGAAGTCAGTGTATGTAGCAATTAAAATTATGACACCAAATGAGCTGCAGACACAGGTGGTTTTTATAATTTTATTACCCACTCATCAGCATGATTAGCAAGTCCTAGGTTTATCATCAAAGTGGTTTGTGAGATATCCGAAGCCTTGCAAGTTTCAAAAGCCCATGTCAAAGCAGGCCTTCAGATTCTCAGGGCACCAAGCCTTAGAGCCGCAGTTGCTGGCTGATGGTCCAAAGACTGAATCTGGCCGGCTGAAGCTTTTGTTTTGTTTTTAACATTGTTTAGCCCAGTATATTCATTATTTAACACTTCATTTATTTTCAAACATTAAAATAATTCACAAGAGCGCAGATAAAATTTCTTATGTATAATTTTACATCTTGAGCATTTTCCTAAGTAAATCAGTGGCTGGAAGTCCTAGAGTGAGTGTATAATTAGGCTGCATATTAGATGACCTTCTGCAGTTTGCAAAATAAAGGACATTGCAATGTAAATGATGCTGAGCCACTGACAGCATTGTCAGGGCACCTGCATACACCCACTATGGAGCTCAGGAGGACTTACCAAATAGAGGAAGTGAAGGGTTCATGACCTATGTATCCCCCTTACCCTACAGCCTAAGGAGCCTTTCAGGAAGGTCCACAGACTGCCTCAATGAAGGAAAACATGATGGGACTACATCAAAGGGGTGTAGCTGGAGAAGAAAAAAAAATGGATGTAGGGACAGTGGCTAAACAAGATAAAAAGGCTAAGTAGAAAACTGTAAAATAATTGTCTAAGGCAATGGCCTCATTTGCATTCCAGATGACAGCTGCACTTTCTCAGAAGGGTGGTTGACCAGACTCCCCAAGGGAGGAGGGTGCCCATGGCCCAGCCCTTTGCGGTTCTGCCTATATGAACTACTCTGGAGACCTTAGGACCATCATGAGACTGGACACTAGGTGGCGCAATTTACCTCTTCTAGGACTCAGAGGCAAGCGAGAAGCTAGGGAGGTCAGATAGAGAAATGAGGTGGAGGGAAGGCAAATGGCAGAAAGGAGTAGGAAAGAGATGGGAAAAGAAAGGGAACAGTCATAGAGGGTAGGGTTGAAGGAAAGGAATATTAGAAATGAAAAGGGTAAAGTAAGAGATGGACAAGTGGATGAATGTGAGAAAGTGAAGAAAGAAAGGAAAAAAGCATGATGCAAAAAAGAATAAAAATTATCACCACCAAATAATTATTGAAAATCGCTTACCTAGCCGCACAAGATACTGTATCGTCAGAAGAATCATGTTTTCCACGCTCAGGAGTTGGCTGCCAGTCAACCCTAAGTGTTCCAAATCTTTGTTTTCCAACTGTGGAATCTTGTAGCAATTCACCAGCAGAGGACTCACAACAATGTCACCAACATTTCCATAGAAATAGGGTAAAGTGCCATAGCCTGCCCCAATAGAAGCAGGTCAATAAAGTTCAACATTTCTTTTTCAGGTCCAACCAGGTACGCATGCCCAACTAGGATCAAAGATGCTGAACAAAGCTTCCTGCCCTTTGAGATGGCTGCCAAACAAAATCACTCAAATATTCTAGGGAATTCCCTCAGATGCTTCCAAATTCTACCCTTATATTAAATCAAATGAGCAGGAAGCAAAAGACTCAGATGATATCATCTCTGTTTCCCACAGAAGGGACATGTTAATATATCTGCCACAGAGGATTGATGAAAATTTGCAAAACATCTCTGTGTCCTTTGGCAAAACTGCAATGATAAAATATTTTCCAATAAAATTCTTGATCAAGTTTTTTTCCACATAAGAAGCCAGATAACAAACCACAATAACATTATTTCATTTCCTGAGGTTTTCTTAAACATTTTAAGAAGCTAACAAACTCACTGATGAGCAGCAATATTCTTTTAGTCACAGGTACTTGCAGGTTCCTACCCTTCATGCTATTTTAGTTATTTTTATGTTCTCTTCTCAAATGTCAGTAAATAGCCTTAAATTATCTTAGAAGTAGATAGGACAAAAATATATTGAAAATATACCCTGTTTTGGTGGTGTGGTTAAAAACAGGGGCAGTCCCTCTGTGAGACTTTCTAGAAGGCCGACACCAAAGGGTCCCCATGTTCTACATATTTTTCCAAGGCTTAACTCCATTATGCACACCACTCAAATGTTTAATAAAAAGGTCCTGACCATATGGAATTTAAACAACTGGGATTCTCCCAGTGCCTATAGGCCCAGGAGCAGTGGGTAGGACAGCCTGATAAAGGACAGGACTTGAAGCAAAACCATCCATGTCTGTAGGCTCAAGTCAACCCAAAGAAGCAGGTAACACTCCATATAGACATACCCTAAAGATCCAGTGGGGCTTAAACACCCCAACTATTTAGTCCCAGAGGTAAAGCAGGAAGTCTCCTTCTGACCTAGGATAGTCCCCGGATAAGGTCATTCTTGATGTGGGTCTGAAAAACACTAAGTTAGTCCTGGATTCTAGGGGCCTCTAAATTTCTATACCTCCACTTATAGTTTGGAAGGACTCAGACTCTGTAAAGATGAGCAATTCACCAACGCTTCCCCATGCAACTCTGGGACCTCTTAGTTCTCCCAAAGTGGGCCTGTAAGCTGGTTCAGCTTGTTTCTTTTCTCTGTGGTTTGGCTCCTTTTGACTGGAACGTCCTTTTCCCTTCAGGACCCAGCTGAAACATCACCTCTGACAAATCTTCTCAGACTCCCTCCAGGCAGAGTTAAGCTCTTTCTCCTTTGAGTTTTTGGAGTTCTTGGTTGTGAACCTCTACTAGCTCAAGTTTCACTATATTGTACTTATTTACATGACAGACTCCCCACTAAAAACAGTGCTCCCTGTGGGCAAAAAGACTTTCCCCTACTCCCAGTCACATGCTTAACAGCATGAGTGACCTGACTGATAAACGCTGAAAAAATCAATATATGGATGAACAAAGATATGCATGAACATATGGATAAATACACAAACACTGAAATGGAGAAACAGTCTCAGATCCCAGCAGACACAGGCAACTTGGAATTCCTTTCCCTTACCTATCAGAATTACTGGTCTAACTCCTGAGTTACTCAGCAGGTTTTCAGGAACAATTACAGTTTCCCCTGCAGGAATGGGTCGAGGTTGTAAAATTCCAGTTAATGGGGTCTGTGGAACTGGGGCAGATAAAAGGGACTCTGGAAAAAAAGTTGTTTGACAAGAAGGATTAGACATGAAAGCTAAATGAAATACCATTGAAATCAACATAGTCTTAATACTTTTAATAGAGAAGTTTTAGAAGCCTAACGGTTCACTGTTTTTTTTAATTAAAGTAATTCATGTTTATTATATAAAATTAAGAGTGAGAAAAACAGAAGGAAAAAACCCCAATCATAATCACACCATCTGAAGATAACTAGTTTTTTCTTCTAGTTGTTTTTCCACATGCAATCTTTTGGATTCTGTTTTGTATTTAATTCCCTCCATCCCCATCCCAATTATCATGGTTTATTTACTCATCATAGAAAATTTGAAAAATATAGAAAAGAATGAAGAAGAATAAACTCATCATTAATCAGTACTATCCAGAGGCAAACACAGTAACATATTGGCATAATTCTTTGTTTATACAGCATCACTATGTAGTCTTTAAAACTATTTAAACAAACTTAAATTTTTAAAGAATCCCATTTATGCCTTAGAATTGATTTATTTACATTTGTTGGTGCTTAGTACAGCAAGGTAGACCAGCATTTAAACATTTACCAGTAGGTACCCAATGGCCATGGCTTGGCTATTATAAAAGAGAACCAGTTGGTTTTTCAGGTTTCTAGCCACAGACTAAGCCATCCAGGCCAGAAATAAAAGGAACCAGATAACAGGAGAACATGTCTAACACCACAAATGGCAAAGCAAGCCCATTTGTGCCCTACGATAGTGGGTTAGTAGCATCATGCCCTACATAAAGAATGGTTTATTGATATTGTGGTTCCAAACAAAGCCAGGTGGTCAATTAAGATCTGTTGTGATAGCACATGCACTTTTAGGGAAGGCAGATGTGATGGGGACAAAATATCAGCTATGCTAAATTTCCTTACATAATACTGGACACAATGGTTGGTTAAGGAAATTTATCTTCAAAGGTTCAGGAAAAGAATAGGAGTAGAAGATACCTCTGCTAATTCAAAAAAACTGAAAACTGAAAATCCATCTTCTGTTGAAATCTTACCAGTTCTTGAAAGAGGGCGAACTGTAGGAACAGGTACAACTAAACCAGGTTGTGGGACAGGTGACCCAGGATACCACCCCCGGTGTCGTTTCTTTGGTGGCCCAGAAATGAACATGGTAGCTGAAGACAAAAAGAAAGATGAGCCTTGTCCTTAGTAGTGGAAGAAAGGAGAGAATTCAAAGTAACATAGAGCCTTTAATTTGATTATACTCAGAAAGTTTGAGCCACTCTTCT